AGTAACACTTATTGAATATTGAATAGATGCCAGATACTGTCCTGGGAGTGGTCTTCATAAACAGATTAGGGACCTCCAAGGATCTATTTCCATTACATAATGTAAATTTTATTCACAAAATATCTAAGCTTACAACAGGTAATGTGCTTCTTGAACTTTCCCCCCACAATACTTTGTATAGCATCCTATACCTCTCCTCTGTAGCAGGCTTCACATTTATAAATAATTTGTATATAATTATTACACTTTTGTTATACAATTTCCAAGAGGCAATCCATCTTATTCATTACTATGTGCCCAAATATTAATAATAGCTGACCCTTAGCAAGCATTTAATCAATTTTTGTTGCATGAAGAACTTTCTGAAATCATCACTAATGACCACTAGTCAATGCATACCTCCTAAGATATGAGGGCATAGTCCAAAACTGTCTCTGACAATTGGAAAATATTTTTGAAGGCATCTGTTTTATTTCCTTTTAAAACTCATTTGACTTTTTAATTCTCATCCATTATGTATGATTTTTTAATATGAGCTGTTTTCAGGAAAAATTGATACATTGGGCATATGCATCATAGTTTTAAGAATACAGCTGTTGTGTGTAAGTGTGTATAGTGTATGGGCTTTGGAATTAGGGACTTGTTCAAATTCTTGCCTTGATTTTTAGCAAATATCTTATACTTAAGTCAGCATTTGAAAAATAGGTTTAAGAATGCTTACCTTGAAGTTTTTTGTTGTTGCTGTTTTTAAGAGAATAAAATGAAATTGTACTTAAAATAGTTGGCCTGCATAATATATACTCAAGTACTGGCTTCCTTTCCCCTCTTCCTAGAAAACTTCTAGTTTCTCTTTTAAGAATCTCAACTTATATATGATTCTTTCCATTAAGATATATTAGATGGTCAGTAACTGTCAACTAAGAACAGAAAGATCTCATTCTTTGAGGCAGCATTGTGTCTGTTCATCTGCAGAACAAAATTCTTTTATTGAACATAGTTAACACCTCATAGATGAAAAGTTTCTAGCCAATATTTTTAACCAGTGCCAACAAAGTCCACAGAGAAACATTAAATTGAATTAATTTTTATTACTACTTATTTGACACAAGTTTACTTGTCTTAGACAAGTGAGAATTTATAAAATCTGTGCTTTATTGCATGGATAGAAAGTAGAAATGCAGTTTCTTGGGAATTAGCGATGGTGCTCTCCGGAATACTTGAAGATTCTCAGTGACTGTTGCAAGGAATCACAAAGGAGATCTTTGGTCCAAAGAAGACATCTCTGGAAAAAAAAAAAAAAAAGTTAAATCTAGCTATAAGCTAAGGTATATATTAGTTTTCTGGGTTAAAAATGAAGAGTGATTTGCAGGATTTCAGATATGATTATTCGTTTTAGGTGAATAAAGTAGAAAAAGAATGAGTGGGAGGACTTGCCACAGGAGTAACAAAGACCAATAAATAAATCTAGCTATTATAGGGAAAGGAGAAGTGTTAAGCTACTCTACTCTTGTTGGGAAGTTCATATAAGCTAATGTATAAAAATGCATGGAATAATATAAAATTGTATATAAGTGATTACGGTTTATTAGAAATATACTTAGTATATAATGTACAATATGATAAGTATTGTTAGCACTGTTGTAGAGTATATTTGAAATTTGCTAAGAGAGTACATCTGAAAGTTTTCATTACAAGGAAAAATAAATTTGGGGGGTAACTATATGAGGTAATAGATGTTAACTATAACTAAATTATTATGGTAGTCATTTTTTAATATGTATTGGTTGACTCATTTGCCATATACCTTAAACTTAAAAAGTGCTGTATGTCAATTATATCTCAATAAAAAGTGAAAAAAATAGGATGACAAATTAAACTGTGATTACAGGGTGGGAAAAAGGAAATATACTTAGCAAGGTAAGTTTGTTGCCACTAGGAAAAGGATAATCCAGTATCAGATAGAAATTACTTTTGTATATCTATACTTCTATTCTTATCCATTAACACAAAATTATATCATGAAATAAATACAAACACATTTCTGTAAATTGGATTCAAGTCTTACAATTACAAAAAAGCAAAGATGGTATTTTAATATTACCGGTAGATGATATTTCATTTACATGGTCTGGGAAAAACTAAATCATTTTGTGGAATCAGTTAACTCAAGTCCTTGATATCATCATTGAATACAGTGATTCTGAAACTTCATCATACATCAGAATCACCCAGGAAGCGTGTTAAACCGTAATTGCTATGCCTCACCTCCAGTGTTCCTGATATAGTAGGTCTGATCTGGGGCCCAAGAATGTTTATGCACTTTTTTTTTTTTAACGAATGTTCCTTTTCTTTTTTTAGTGCATTTTTATTGATTTCAGATAGGAAGGGAGAGGGAGAACAGGATAGAAACATCAATGATGAGAGAAAATCATTGATTGGCTGCCTCCTGCATACTCCCTACTTAGGATTTAGCCTCCAGCCTGAGCTGTGCCCTGACTGGGAATCAAACCGTGACCTCCTGGTTCATAAGTTGATGCTCAACCACTGGGCCACACCAGCCAGGCTGGATATGCACTTTTAACAAGAACACAGGTGATCTTGAAGCTGCTGTTCTGAGAACCACACATTAAGAACCAACTGGCTTGGTAGAAAAAAATGAAAAATATCTGGTCCAAATCAGAAGATCTGAGTTCTAGTGCCAGTGCTGATATTAACTAGTCACATAGGATGGTGCTGGTCATTTTATCTCGCTGTACCTTTTCCTTGATCAGATGGTTATATCTGCCTCTTCTGCCTTACAGGTTTCTTGGAAAAATGAAAATATGATGACATGCTAAAAGTAATTTGAAAAAGCCAATTTAGGTATGAAATAGCCAAGATCATAGTGTTTGAAAGATTTCTCAGTAACCAAGGGTTTAAAATCAAGAGTTGGAAATATTTATTGACTTATCTACTATTATATTATACTTAAAATACATCTGCAAGTCAGCGGGAAACTTTATTTAGTTTATTTCTGGTTAACTCATACACAGAGCTGGAAATTTTTTCTTTGACCATTACCAAATTTTTCGATGCAGTTAATTACTTGATCCTGTTTGCTGACATCTTTTTTTTTTTTTTCTGGAAATACACAGACATTTTTAATGGAAGCAAAATGGGGCAAGGGCATCACAGGCAACAGGGATTGAGCTCAGGCAAGGCAGGGCCGGTGCTGTGCCAGGTCATGGAAGCCACAGCAGCCTGGCAGCACGGAGGGGGGGGGGGGGGAGCTCGTCGTGGGGGGCCGGCGAGAAGCCCAGGCTGCCAGTTTCATCCCTGGGGAAGAGCGGAGGCTCTGGCCCAGCTGGTTCTGCGAAAACCTCAAGGGTGGGCACCTGGCGGCTCCCAGAGACTCCTCTGCTTAATTACTTAATCACACCCCGAGAGTAATCAATCAACCCACGAGTATTTAACCATAGCACGCCCAGTGTGCCTGGGAGCTGAGTGAGCCTGCGAGCTGGAGGTGGGCCGCTATCATAACCAGCAGTTAACTAGTAATTTCCACGCTGTCACAGCCCCATCACTTGCCATTATTCCTTCCGCCTTACCAACTATTCTTCATGATCTTGCTAAGAATAACCCTCAAATGTGCCTGGAATTGTTTTCTGTATCAAAATGCTTCTTTTTCCCTGAAATTGACTTAGCTGCTGGCTGTCAGCAACAGTTTTACAGGATGAGGAGAGAAGTGGCAAACACAGACCAGTTCAGGAAAATCAGAGAAGATCTACTAGTACTTGCTGCATTCTGAACAGAGTACATATGTGGTTATCTGAGGAAACATGCAGTTTGGCTGCCGGTCCCACTCCTCAACGGAGTTACTCGTTCTATACGAAGAGCTTCTGGAGAATGGCCCCAAAGAGAGAAATGGTGATACAAAGACTTTAAATATGTGCAGTTAAGAGTTCTCAGGTCATAGGCTTGAGTTTGATCCTGATCTCAACAATATCGTTACAAAGCAATTATTGAAGACAGGAACTGGTGGATCTACGAGTACAATGCAGAAGCTTATAGCATGAAGCATAACAAAAAGATGACTCAACTTTTTAAAAATAGGTAAGTTGTACTCACTTCCTCTCAAATGATTCCTTTATTTTCGGAGTCATACTGTATTCTTTGGCTTTCATTGTTAAGGGCTAAATTGTTCTTGACTATTTTGAATGCAGTTCTCTGCAAGTGAAAAAATGTCATAGCCTTAAAAAAACAACCAGCATACACATTTTCAAGAGTGTGTGTGTGAACTTAGGTTTTCATTTCTCTTGGGTAGATGCCTAGGAGTGGGTAAATGTATATTTAAATTTTGAGAAACTACCAAACTGTTTTCTATAGTAACTATCATTTTACCTTACCACTAGAGATGTATGTGTTCCAATTTTACCACATCTTCAATAATACTTGCTTTTTTTCTTTTTGATTATAGCCATCCTATTGGGTACGAAGTGGTATCTTATTGCTTGTTATGGTTTTTTATTTAGCATTTTCCTAATGATTAGTGATGTTGCATGAATTTTCATATGCTTAGTAGCCATTAGTCATTTGTTTTTTTAGCATAGACTTATTTAAGACTTGTATCCTATGAATAGGAGGATAAATATTTGTACCCCAAAGTATAGTATGCTAGGCATATTACAACTTAATACAAATTACTTTGATCACTTTCTGAAAAATTAAAGACCCTTATAACAATTTAACTCCACTTATCCCTCTTATCTTTTGTACTATTGTTATATATTCCATTTTCACATTATAAAAACCCACAGGACATTATTATTATTGCTGTTTTAAACAAAATACTCTTAAATTGTACATACTTACCTTGTGTTCTTTTTCTCTTTCTTAGGATTTAGGACCATTTTCGTTAAGCAATAACTTCTCTCAGCTTTTGTTTTTCTGAAAATATCTGTATTTTGCCTTAATTCTTGAGAGCTTTTCCCCTAGATATAGACCTTGAGGTTAGCATTTCTTTTCTTCAGTAATTTAAAGATGTCATTCTATGGTCTTCTTGATTTCCTAGTTTTGTTGAACAGTTAGAATTCAGACTTAATGTTGCTTTTAAAATTTAATATGTCTTTTCCCTCTGGTTCCTAAGATTTTGTTCTTAGTTTTCAATTTTTTTTATTATGACACACTCTAGATAATCTTTTCTACTAGAGCAGATTTGATCTTTCCCTTGTTAGGCAGAATCAACCCCTCTAGAAGGTAGAAGGATAAGGGGATGATTATCTCAAAACAGTGAGAGATTGAGCTGTATGTATCCAGGCTGGGTTATAAAGTTTTAGTAAGATCCAGTTCACCTCTGGCTCATTCCTATTCCTCAGACATTGTCACATGGGTTTTTTGTTTTTACTTTCAATTTTTTAAAATTATTGATAGTATTACAGATGTCCCCCATTCTAACCTCCCTCCCCTTTCACCCAGCTTCCCTGCTTCCCCCCCCCCCCCAGGCCTTCACCATACTGTTGACTGAGTGTCACACTGGCTTTTTTTTTTTTTTAAACATTTTTATTTATTTCAGAGAGGAAAGGAGAAAGAAACATCAATGATGAGAGAGAATCATTGATTGGCTGCCTCTTGCACATCCCCTGTTGGGGATCAAGCCCACAACCTGGGCATGTGTCCTTGACCGGATCGAACCTGGGACCCTTCAGTCCACAAGCCAACACTCTGTCCATTGAGCCAAACCAGCTAGGGCTGTCACGCTGGCTTTGATTGAGGTCTTGGCAATCTCTGTCACCTGAGAAAATTCGTTCTGGTCTTTGGGGGTTTGAAGCTTGACTCTCCACATTTCTATCTACATAGCTTCAAAATACAGCAAATGTTTTCAGGAAGAGACCAATGATGTGTTTTTGGCAGACCCTCTCAGTCCAGCCAGACTTTTGTCTACAAAGTTCAATGAAACCCTAGATTTCACTTTGTCTTTTAGAGGCTTCTGACACAATTTTCTAGCTTCTCATACCACCTGAGAATTCAGCCTATCTGTGTGGAAAATAGATCATTACATACATTTATGTGTCCTCTAGTTTCCAACTGATTGTGTTAACCCCACATAATTGCTAAAAACTTAGTAGATTCTCTTTCCCTTTATAAAAGTCCTTATACTTGGGCCTAGTCAGATTGATTCTTGTACCCAAAATGTACAAATTTTCCCCAGATCATCAATATACCCATGAAGTGCTCTTCCCTGTCTAGAATTTTAGTTTTGATTATTTTCAGATTGCTTCAATATAACTCCAATGTATTTAAAAACATGAATTTTGCAATCTGCCCACACCCCTCTGCCCCCCCCCCCCCGCCTGCTCCAAATAACTTTTTTGGTTGACATTTAGTTCATAATGATTAAAAAAAATAGTTAACTTGTTGTGTGTTTTTTAAATATATTTTTATTGATTTCAGAGATGAAGGGAGAGATAGAAACATCAATGATGAGAGAATCATTGATCGGCTGCCTCCTGCACGCCCCACACTGGGGATTGAGCCCACAACCCAGGCATGTGCCCTGACTGGGAATCAAACCGTGACCTCCTGATTCATAGGTTGATGCTCAACCACTGAACCACGCTGGCCAGGCAGTTAACGTTTTTTGAAGAAAAACAAAATAACATTGCTTACCATTTTTTTCATTGAAAATGCTACCAGTGGGATGAGAGGTTTTTTATTTTTTTTAACCTAGAATTTTCATTTCATTTATTCAAAAATACATTGTTTAACTATATCACTAAGTTGAAACTCTAAAGTATATATGCAGTTAGCCCTCAAGAACAGGGATCTCCCCCTAAGTGGATGTGCCTGTTTGATAATTCTTCAGTGTGCTTATCCTACTCCTCTCACTGTCTTTGAAACAACTTGAAAATATTAAGATTCATCTTTGAGAAGCTATTATATGTGCAGAGTAATGGTTTCAGTTTTTTTATATTAACTATGCAACTGGAGAGAACAATATTTATGTGCAATTAATCTTACGTAGAGTATACTACATTTTGGCTAACTATATGAGTTAATAAATAATTATTGAGAATTTATTTACTGCTCTGTGATGGTGGTGGGGTTACCAAATATATATATAACTAGTGGCCCGGTGCACAATTCATGCATATTAAAAGGGAATTAATTAGAGGAAATATGTTAATATTGCTATTTGCCCTTTCTCTATAATAGAAGTATCAGAGATGAAAGAAAATTAGTAAAATGCATATGAAAATCTCCCTCCTGTCAGAGTCTGGGGCGTGCCGCGGGACCCAGAGTCAAGTCCCCGCCGACCTACACGTGCCTTGAAATCACACAAGACCCACACCTGGCCGGTCCCACCCCTGTCAAGCCCTGCAGGGCGAGGGGCGCAGCCTCAGGTCCCCCAGCCTGGCACCGGGTGGGGAGCGCAGCCTCAGGTCCCCCGTCAAGCCCTGCCGGGTGGGGGGCATGGCCTCAGGTCCCCTGGCCTGGGTGCGAGGGCATGACGACCATTTGTATATTAGCTCTTTATTATATAGAATATTCTCTTTCACTCAGGATTTTGCTATCTGGTTTTATTATCAGATTATGAAAAGTTCAAATTCTTAATGTAACTGACTGAATAAATGATAGGAATTTCAATAGCTAGCAAAACCCAGATCATTTATTTCTACATAATCCTGCCAGATTGACACTGCTATGGATGAATTCCAGTTTACAGAATAGCTATTTATACTTATAGGATAGGGGACCTACTTTGGAAACAGCTTCAAGCCTAATTCATAATTATTTTATTGCTAAATATTTATGTTATAATTTGTGAGATGCTGAACTCTGGCAAAGTTTGGCAAATAAAGTGCTATATTGGTATTTAGGAAGGGGAAAACTCTGGTAAGATCATTTTACTAGAAGACTAAGATAACAGCAATATTGTATATATAAAGTTTGGTTATATAGTTTATTACATTTGGGTAGTTATAAACTTTTATGTAATCAAATACTGTTGTGAAGTAGCGGGGTTCACAACTAATTGGTGTTCATAACCAAAGAATTTCCTAGAACCCACGTTATCTTTTAAAATTTTAATTATAATCTCTTGACCACCTAATTATTACAAAAGTTAAAATATATTTCCCCACATTATGATTACACATTCACACAATTATAGAATCATAAATTTAAAAGTTGAATGGCACTAGATTCCCCAAAATGTCATTTTATAATTTCTCAATCAAAAGCCTAGGAATATTAAGTATACTATTCAAAATCACAAGCCCTTGCTAGATTTTGATTTATACTTTTTTTAAAAAATGAAGAGCAATCACTTTCCTCTTTATCATCTTTAGAAAGATGCATCATTTTAATAAAAATAAACTTCGAAAGTTATTTTAGAATCTATGAAATTGATGTGTTCCTGAAAAGAAATGGTTCTAAAGTTGAGTTTTAGAAATATAATCTTATTTTCCCATTTTGAACCATAACAAGATTCAAAACACAATGAGAAACACCTTTAGTATTACCTCTTTATAGGAATTTCAGTTCTCTGCTTGTCATAACAGTATGCCAGGTAATTCATAATAGTGAACTAGGCTTCTTGTGTATTTAATCCACCTTTTCAGAACTACATTTGGGATTAGATTTTTTTGTTTTGTTTGTGCTACCAGATTCTGTATATAATTTTTATTTTTAAAAAGGGTTGCTCTATAACCAACAACTGTCTATATCCCACTTAGACCTTACTTCCCTTTTCACTTCACTGTGCATCTCAATGTTATTTCTCGGTCAGGAAGTACAGCATGAGAGTGAAGTCTTGGCATCAACGGTAAAAGTAGATTAAATATAGAAATGTTTTCCTGTTCTCTGCTGTGATGGAGTCAAGAATGAATGTAAATTGGCTGGGTTGGCCTCACCTGTAGGCTGTAAGGAAAGGATCTAACCCAGGCCTTTCTCTTTAGCTTGTAGATGGCCACCTTCTCATTGTGTCTTTTCACATAACCTTACCTCTATGGCTGTATCTGTGCTCAATTTTTCCCTATTTATAAGGACACCAGTTATATTAGATCAGGGACCCACCCAGCTTCAGTATGACCTCATCTTAAATTCATTACATCTGCGATGAACTTATTCTCCAATAGGGTCAGTGCCAGTTGTGCTATAAAAGCACACAACAATTCAAACGGACTAAATCATACTACCTTAAGTAGCAATAAACAGATCACTAATGCATTACATTTTTTCAAGTTTATTTTTAAATTCAGAAACAGTAAATGCATGCATCATGTGCCACTAATATGTGTTTCCAGGGAAAACACATTTTAAAGAACCTGCTTTTTCTTTAGGAAACCTGGGCTAACAGTTGCTGGTTCCGAGGTTCTATTGAGTACGGGTTACTGATCACACACGAAGCTGGAGCAACACAGGCCCAACAAACACCAGCCAGCAAGCTTGCTGAGAAAAATAAGACTATTTAAAATCTGCCCAAACCAACTGTCGGGGCAACATATGGGCCAATACGGGGGGGGGGGGGAAGCCTTCAAAAAGAAATACAACACAGAAATGGCACACTGTCACACTCCTCCTACCCTGGGAAAGGCCGCCAAGTTCAGGGGGTCTGGGGGCGCCCGCTCCGGCCGCGGACACGAGGTCAGCGGGGCGTGCAGGTCGGTAACGTGCAGCTGGGCGCGGTTTGCTCAGTATGTGCAACTGGGGGTGGGGGCATCATCCATGTTGCTTTTGTGGGACTCTCAAATGGGTCTTTGATATTAAAAACTTTTTTAAAAACTATCACATTAGAGGGACGAGACAGGGAATAACAAACAAGGTGACAGCTGGGCCGGCCACAGGCGCGGAGGTCACCAGGACGCCGCGCCGCGCCCTCCGGGAATCG